AGCCTTTAATTGGGAATAGGGATGCACTGGCCTCAGAAAAGATCTGACACAGGGTGGACCCTCCCCAGAAGCAGTATAGGCGTGTGCATCCCTTGGTATGAGACAGGCAGCTGGCACATAGTCAGAGTTCACTTGTTCACTGGCACTTATTTTTTTATGTCATCTTACATGCTCAAACCTCAGTTTCCCTATCAGTAAAATGGGATAATAATACTTCCAATAGGGTTTTTGTGAAATGACGATACAAATATATTCATATTTACTTTATTTGTAAGGAAGAAAGAGATACAGAAAGATAAGCCACTGAGCGATCTTCAATCCACTGGTTCACTCCCCATATCCTTGCAACAGCTGGTGCTGGGCCAGGTTGAAGCCAGGAGTCCAGAACTCATTCCAGGCCTCCCATAGGGACCCCAGTACTTGAGCCATCCCCTGCTGCCTCACAGAGCGTGCAGTAGCAGGCACCGTGATCAGAAGTGGAGGAGTCAGGACTCAGTCCAGGCCCCGCGATATGGGATGCAGCGTCCCAAGTGGCAATGTAACCACTGTGCCAAACACCTACCCCACTTGCAGAAGTTAAAGCGTGACCATCAGAAAGTGCCACCAAAGGCTTCAAGGCTCTACACGGGGCTCGTAACGTTAACTGGACTCTCCTGTAGCAAGTCATCTGATTGGACTCCTAAGGACACAGCCGCTGGACCTGGAGTCCACACCAACAGAGAACAGATTTTTGAGCACTTTGGCAATGCGAGGCCATGGCGGGCTTGCATCCTTGCCAGCACCTTGCTTTGTGGCAAAGGTGTATTTGTGCCTTCCTTTCTCCATGCCAGGCGTCTGTGAGAGGATGAATCCTCTCAGCGGTGGCAGCCAGAGTGGGGGAAAAGAGCAGAGTAAGGTGTTCCTGGGTGTGCCTTGTCGTGAATTCAGCATTTCCCTGACCCACGAGGGCCAGTTCCAGCTGCAGTTGGCAGATCAGGAGGCTGCCCGGCTGGGTGCTGCCAGACAAAGCGCCAGTGCCTGGCCGTTAACCCAGGCACTGCCAGGCTGCACTGCCATAAGCAGTTTGCGGGAGATGAACACCACAGGGAGGGGAAAGGACGCTCAGGTATCGTTCAAAACCACAGGCAGGCAGAAATGATGCCGCCCAGCCTGAAGACAGCAGGTTGGAAGTTGTGCACTTGAGGACCTGGTCGTGGGGCTGAGAAAGGAGGAGGAAGGCCGCTGGGGCCCTGTGGAGAGGGACTCAGCCACCAGGGGCCCAGGGGCCCGGGCAGGGAGCAGGCTTGCCCGTCACACATCCAGTGGGGCTTGTTGGTCAAATCTGCGCATGATTCTCGAATGCTAAAGGGCATATGGAGTGTGGAGTCGAACACTGAAGGCGGACATTGCGGCACCGAGGGCTAAGCTGCCACTTGGGAGGCCCAGGTAATTGGTTCCTGCCAATGTGGGAGACCCGGATGGAATTCCTGGCTCCTGTCTTTGGACAGGACCTGGCCCAGACCTGGCTATTGCAGGCAGGGGTGAACCAGCAGATGGAAGATAAATTCAGATTCCCTCTCTCTCTCTGCCTCTCTCCCCTCCTCCCTCTCCCTGTCTCTGCTCCCGCTCCTTCCCTCTTCTCTGTCACTCTGCCTTTGAAATAAATCAATCATTGTTTAACAACAGCATGTCATCTTATGAAAAACAGTTAACCACGAACAGAATATGAGCTTTGATCTGAGACACCCGCATGGCCTTGAGCCCCTTCACCTCTGTTAGGCTGTGTTGGCCCCCCTGTCATAATGCCTAGCAGGTGAGCTGAGCTGTTGGGAGAGTCGGCCCCTGGCACGTACAGGCCCTCAGACCCCAGCAGCCATCAGTAGCACGACTGTAGCTTTTGCTGTTGCCATCACATTGGGATGGAACTGCTGCTTCCTGAGACGAAGGCTAAGCTTCCCTCTCTCCCTGGACAAAGATGGGGTGAATTCGGGGTGTGTTTGAGAGGGTGAGCTGGAGCCAACTGGAGCCTGGCAAGGGACTGCTGTGTGGACGGTGAGGCTGGGCTGGGGAATGTGGCTCAAAGAGAGCCCTGGGGTCAGGTGCAGGTGATGCCCACCAGGAGGAACTGCAGGCTTCGTCTCTCCTGGGGTTTGAGTCGGCCAGGACGAGGATTTCTGGCCAAGAGGGAGGTTTAAGCCTGGAGGCAGGAGGTGGTGTGGCTGTGGGGCTCCCTGGAGGTCTACACAGTTGTCTTTTACCTTCTAACATTGGAGCGTGCGCTGTCTAGATGAAGGGCGTGGGCAGGAGGAGGGGCTGGGCCCGAGGTTCCCCCACCATCTCCCTCCGCCGAAGGCTATGCTACGGCAGCCCTCGCCCCTCGGCCATGGCAGTGTCTGTTCTGCTTGACTGACTCATGCACTTCCGTGGTGTCATACCCCCCCGAGCCCCCTGCAGTCTGCCCCCCCCCAGAGCCTGGGGTCCAAGTCACAAAGCCCCCACACCTGCAGACAGCAGTACTTCAGAATGTGTGCACATTCACGATCATGCATTCGCTCATTCATCTGGCTCCACAGCCTGTTGGTCTCGAGTCCCTGCACTGGGGACCCGAGAGCTGTCCAACTGTTGGAAGCAGTGTGCGGAAGGTAGCTTTTATGTTTGGAGGCACAGATTCTGCAGGTAGAATGACAGGGGCAGGGTGAAGTGATCGGAGGCGGCTTATAGGGTGGAAATGCATATCGAACCCTATGGAACGAATGCTCCAGCCAGGTGGGCAAAGACCGCAGGAGGGAGTCTGCCACTTCTGGGGGAAGGGAATTAGGCCAGGCAGTACCACCTCTGTGCGTCTCATCTGTCAGACGCAGCTAATGCGCCACTCAGGTGGATCCATGTGCTTCCCCAGTGTTCTGTGATGGAAGTTTTCAAGGAGAAAATGTGAAATAATGCGGCAGCAACCGTCCCCACCGAGCTGCTGTGTTTCTAACCACCTGCTTGTTCCGCTGTGGCCCCCTCCGCATGCTCTGTTCTCCCACACTTCACGCACAGATGTGTGGGCATGGAGAGGCGGGCACACAAAGGGCCTGTGGAGGGGGGTATCCGGAATGTGATAGCACTTACCAGGTGATAGTGGCCACTGTCCGAATGGCAGTGCCCCAGGGATGTGGCCATGAACTGGGTTCTGGTCCCTGCTGTGGCCAGGGGACGCGAGGAGCGCTCACACCCAGCACAGCGCCCAGAGATGCTGGGTGGAACTGGAAGATCCAGCAGCTGCTGCCTGCTTCCTAGCCCAGAAGACTTAATTTTCCTCTGACTTTTGATCCTGTACATGAAGGAAAAGCCCGATCTTTTGCTGTGCGTGCTTCTCTAAACGTTTAATCAAGAGAACCGCAGCCGTCTGCATTAGCATCTGTTGTGTCCCCAAGAAATGTCCAAGTGTCATCACTGTCCTTATAAGAACCCCTTGAAGGGACTTTGTAGATGAGGAGACCGAGGCTCAGTGGCTTGTCACAGAGGTGCCAGGTGCAGGCTGCCACCGCAAGTGTTCTGGCCTCAGCTCCGGGACTTCTTCCACCTTCCCCTACTGCTCTCAATCTGCAAAATTGCCCTCGTGTTTCCTCCCCGTGCTCCTCTGTGCCGCTCCCTGCAGGACTGAGGAGCTGACATCGATTCTTGTTCAATAGAGGTTAGAAAGGGCCTCTCCCTTCCCAAGGTGAACACAGAGGGGTTTTTAATGGAAAACTGCAGGGAGCGAGGGCTGTTTCTTGGCTGGCTCTGCGGGGGAGTTGGAGTTGGGTTGGATTTGTACGCGCGATGCCTGAGAGCTGGCTCCCTTTTCTAAAGACCTAACTTTGCAGCATTCTTCAAGGGCTCCAGAGAGTTCCTTGTGCCATCAAATTAAGTTTGGAAACTTCAATAAAGAAGTCCCGAAGGAAACTGTCAATTAATGCATTTACACTGCAACATCATACTTGGGGAAAACTTCTTCAAAAGCAAACGCTATTTTCCAACCATTAAAAAGTCTGCACGCTGCTTGGTTTCCATAGATACCCGAGGTAATAGCCTCTTTCTCCTCATTGAAGGGTGAGTGTCGTTTGGCTCCTTTCTTTTCTTTTTGTTCCCCTACCTTTGTACTTTTCTCCTCCATCTCCATTTGTGAAAACAAAAGATAAATAAATTGAAACCTGGCAATGTAATTTGTCTAAGGGAGACAGCGTGATGTGTTAGCACAGGTGATCTCATTTTTGCTCACCTCCTTATTATCTCGTGTCTTCTACAAAGAGCCCTGGTACTTGCAGGGAGAAGATGGGAAATTTTCAATGGATCAAAGTGTTCGCTCAGCTCATCAAGTGCCTACACAGACCCAAAAGGGAAACGTTAATGATCTGTGGAAGAGCAATTGAGTTTTGATAGGGCACGGAACAGAGGCTGGCAAACTCTAACCCGCAGGTCCCATCTGGCCCACTGCCTGTTCTTGTGAATAAAGTTTTATTGGAACACAGCCACATCTACATGGGTCCATGTCATCTGTGGCTGCTTTCACAATCACAGTGGCAGGGCAGAGTGGCTGAGCAGAGACTGTGTAGGCCACGGAGCCTCCATTGTGTCCTCTCTGGCCCTTTGTACAAAAAGCATCATGGCTTTCGTGAGGCTGTAGAGATGAGGGTCTTGGTGGCATTGAGTAGTTCTGTCACTTTGGGGAGTCCCTCACCCTCGCCCCCTTTCTGCATCTCTGATCCCTTTCTCAGTGCTTTTGGGATGTGAGTCAGTCGCCTTGGCATATCAGGAATCTTTACTCAAGGTTGTTCTGTTAGAACTAGGCAAAGCGGCATACCTTATGATCCTAGAAGCTGGTTTGTTTGTTTAGAAAAGCCAAGAAAGAGAGATGTGTGAAAAGGCCAAGGCCAGTGGTTCAGCTGTTGGGGCAGAGCCGGTGTGTGCGCAGTGTCTCTGCAGAGAGAAGCTAGGCGAGCCTGCAGGAAGGTTCCACTCAGGGAGGAGAGAGCAGAAGAAAGCAGCCACACCAGTCTAGGAAGACATCTTTAATTTCGATTCCACTTTAAAGAGTTTGAGAGAGCCCCTCCCAGCCCCCACCTTTTAACAAACCAGTTGGAGTACATGCCTTCAGATTATAAAAGTATCCGAAATTGCCCAGTATTTCAGCATGCATAGCTTGTTAGTATTTACATATATTTACATGGGAAACAAGAGAAAGATCTACAGTTATTTACAGTCTACATAGGAGAAGAGAAAGGCAGCCTAATTGTATTTCCTAAAATACAGTAGATGAGTAGTCAGCACATGCATATTTAGATTATATTTGCATGATAGAATGCAATTTTTAAAAAAGACATACCTTCGTAACTTTCTATGCTAAGGTGTTGCATAATCAAGGTAAAATTTTTTTTGTTTGTTTTGTTTCTAGTCTATTTGCATCAAGTGCTTTAAAATGCTCACTAACACCCAGGCAGAATTCTTTACCCTGGCAATTAAAGCAACAGCACACACCATCATTTCCTACTAACTAGCAACAAGCTGCTGGTGAATGAAATATCTATTGTCTCTTATTACCCATCGACCACTGTGAAGAGATCTCTCCATGTAAAGGCAGTGCCTAAGCTATCAGCATTAATTATGGAAGTAATATAAATGAGACGCTCCCCACAGTATGTTCTGAATGAAATATTAACAAAGCCGGCATCTCTGGGCTTGAGGAAGGGTCTGTGCAAGCGAGTGCACGCTCTGAAAACACACACCTGACAAAGTCATGCCCGAGTGCGACGGGCTGGGGGGGGGGGGGGCGGGCCGGGCAGCAGCCTGCTTCTCCTGAGATCTGAACTGCTGCCAAGTGCGTCCTCTTAATTCGTCTCCGGAAGACAGAGTTCAGAGTTCGTTTCTGACCAAGATGTGGCCCCAGCAGAGACCCCATGGCTTTTTTTTTGGGGGGGGGGGAGTTGTTTCCGCCGATGTCTTTTCGGTACTGAGTTGTGGAGTCTGTGTGTGACGTAAGTGTAAATGAACTGTCAGCCTTAAAATCCAAACCAGCAGCTTGTTTAAGGTTTGCCCTGAAATCCTGTCTGCTCACGGGTCAGCTCCCGGTTTTCTAAAGGAACTGAGCGGCAGGCCAACGAGGCGGAGTCACTCTCGGTGCAGGAGGAGGGAGGGGGGAGTTGCTTGTCGCACCTGCCCTGCAAAGTTAGTCTTCTCAGCATCGTTACGGAACTGAACCCACTCACTCTGCCTGCCACTAATTTCAGAGATTTATTCCAGTATACATGGCAAATACAGAGGTATGCATTTATGTACAGTATACAGAGCTAGCTATAACAGAGGTTAGAGAGTTAAAGGGTAACCATGTCAAATGTCCCAAATTAACACAAGCTAAGTCTTCATTCCGTTCGACGCTCAGCTGTCCCTCAGCACTGGCCTCAAGGTGGACCCCTTGGAAAATTTCGGCGAGAGGCCACCGGATCTGTCCCCTGTGGCAGGATGATGCTATCCATAAGGTGTTTATTTTGGTGGCAAATTTCCCCGTCTCTTGTGCTTGGCTATTTCAAACTCACCCCCTAGACAGATGGGTACCCCAGTGTGATTTTCCATCCCAGCAAGGGAACTGCCCATTCGGAAAGAAACTGTACATTGAGCTGTGGCTGTATTCTGGGCAGCATGGGCGGGGCACGGCCAGAGGACTTGCGTGCATCTGAGACACGGCCGACAACACGAGTGGATGGTTCAGGCCCTGGGGTTGTAGCACAGCTCTGACAGGCACAAGCAGAAGGCGGAGCAAGTGCTGGTCAATCACCCATACGGGTTGTGCTTCAGCTACCCCTCGGGCCTTCCCACATCCGGGGGACCCCGCTCCCATCACCACCAGCAAAGCGGGGTTCTCACAACAGCCGCAGGCCTTAGAAAGATGAAACAAATCTAGACCTTATGCCTCCACGCTTTCAAGACCAGACATAAATCCATCTCGGGACCCGTGGAACATTCATGGCCGGGAATCTGGAACATGAAAAAGTTGGGAGGAGGGCTTCCCTGATTCCAAGGAAAGCGTTAGGACAGTTTGTCGACAGGAAAACGCAGGTCCTGACAGCCTGCACTTCAGTCCTGCGTGAAGTAGCCCAGGTTCAGACCACCCCATGGCTGGAGTTCCCAGGATGAACATGGCTTTGAACTTCCTTGGATGATTGGGTTTGCTGCCTATTCCTCCCCAAGGAATGAGGGAGACATTCTGCCTTGAAAGAACCTTTCTAGCCTCCTATCCTGCACCTGCTGGGCCTCCCGAGAATACTTGCCTGAGGACCAAGAGCAGCGGGCCTGCTGACCTGCAGTGCATCCCACCCTGGGCTGCAAGTCAGCTCCTGAAGCTAGAAGGCAGTGTCTCCGGTCAGGGAGAACAGGTTGGCTTTGCACAGTGCTCCTGATGAGCCTGACTCGGAAAGGTTGGGGGCATGAGGGGGTACCGTAGTTGGGGGGCCTGAACTGCAACCAGGGAAAGTCCCTGGGTCACCTTCTGAGTGCTTCCCGAGTGGCGGTCTGCACATATGCAGCTGTGACTTGAAAACCCTCAGACGTTGCATTCCAGGCACCCTTCGCATGTGCTCAGAGCAGCTGGGCTTACAGTGTTGGAGCGGCATAGCCCGTCCATCGCTTAGCTCTCCCTCCGCACAGACCATGTCCCCAGCGTCCCCTGGGGAATCCCCCTCTCTGCCTAGCGTGTGAGCATTAACTGAAAAGGAGCCCGAGGTTCTGCACACTCGCAGACGTGTTTCTTAGCCAAGAAACTCTTCCTTGTGGCAAAAGTTAAACAGCCATTCCAACTACATCCGTTGTGTAGGAGTCGCCATTCTCTTCTGCAGCGTGAAGACACGGGATGGGATCTCCGTGGATTCTAAAAACACTCTTTCAAACTTGTAAAGCCTGGTAACAAATATCGACTTCCCTGATCATCTTCGCTCTTTGTAGTTGAGAAACTAAGTGCATTTCCCTTCCAGTAATAGATGTTGAGACCAGCCTGTGCTCTGCTCAGATAGAAAGTTACAGTGCAGCGCCCACAGGAAGTATCTGCACGTGGCTAAAGGCCATCCAGGCATTCATGGAAGTTCCTTTGTTAGGAATTAAGGGGGAGGGTCAGGTCTCCTCTGCCCACGGGCGTTCCTACACGGGCTGCACCGGTTCCCGTGTACGGAGATTTGTAAGGGGGAGATTGCTTAGATTTCACTAGTCTTGATGTCCTGTCATCCAAGAACAGGTTCCTTCGCTCGGCACGTCTGGCACCTGGAGGTAGCGTTTTCAGTCAGACCACCTTTCTCTCCAGGGTCATTTGCTGTGGGATCATTCGAGGGGGTGCTGAGTCTTCATTTCTGTTAATCCAAATGGATATAATTTCAATTTAGCTCACTGACTAAATCAACAATGGGGAAATCTCCTTTCAACAGTTCCCAGCTGAACTCCTGAGAGCCTGTGCATTTGATTGGAGGCCACGTCAGGGTGTCACTCTGGCCAGGCGTAGCAGGAGCAAAATGGGAGACCTACAAGCGGAAGCAAGCACTGTGCAAATATTTGTGCAACACATTTGGGAAGGAGGTTTCGCATATTAACGCCTGGGGATTCTGGGATTGGTCAGTCTTTGTGATTCTCCATATGGCTTTGAGCAAGGCGCGTTCGATGGCTAACACTAAGGGGGCTGCTCTGACAATGAGTATATCTGTTATCCCTGGTTCTGAGAGTGCTGTGAGGATTAGAACATAACACTTATAAAAATTGCAGCCTGTTGCTAACTGTCATTGAACAGTCTTGCTACAACTCACTGGAAAAACAAGTCAGCTGCCGCCTCCCATGAGTCCTACAGTGGTCAGCGTGCTTGTTCATGAACACGTATTCCAAATCGAACAGCACAACTGAGTGATGCACGCACGGCGGGGGAGGCAGAGGGTGACCTGTTGGCTGCAGTCCTGTGCAGTGGGGAGGCCCTGTACAGACTGCATTATTTTATCAACTCATATGCGGCTAATGTGTCCATGGAAAAGACTGTCTGGTGGACGGACAACTTGCCTTTGCACGTCTTCTAAGTCAGATTGAAAGTAGAGTTGCTTGTTGTAACGGCTGTGTCCCAAGCAGCAAGGTATCTGGAGATGGACTCGAGTAGCCCACCCCGCACCTTTCCCGTAGGGTGGGCTCTCTAAGCTCACGCAGGAGCATAGCCGGGAGACAGCCGTTTATTCCATGCGGGACACGTGCGTCATACCCCCACGACTGGGCGATTAATTGTGCTGCTCCACGTGGTACTCACAGGCCCGCTGGATTAGGTGACTGGGTTTGCAATTTGGGGGAGTTTGCTTTGCCCCCCCCCGACCCCCGATGAATCATGATGGAAGCTTTACAGGTTGGAAGAGGCCCCTGTCTCTCCTCTGCCCAAGCTCTGGCGTGAGTGCCCACCTCTGAAGGGGCCTCTCCTTTCCTGCGCTTGCGGGTCAGAAGTTAATCTGGACTTCTTCTGCGGCGTGTTCCCTTAGATAAGTCTGCTTTTCTGCATAAATGGGTTAATTTCCCATTCACCCTAGTATCCATACATGTGGAATAAGGCGATCTTAGAACGTCTCCTCTGATTATTGGATAGCTAGAAACGCCATGGTATTATGTCTATTGTTTAATATACCTCAGAGTTACAGCTAACGTAAGGCAGGAATCTACTATTTCTTTTAAGTAAGCATGCGTTTTAAAATAGAGAAACCTGAAAACTAAGCATTGAATTATGTATCACGTGTCCTTATGAGAACGTAAGTATTGTACCAGATCACTAACCAATGCATTTTAGGCATCAATGTGTGTGCGTCCGAGGGCCATTCTTTATGCTATTTCTTTTTTATCAGAAACCTCTGTACCTTTTCCTTCAACGGAGTCAATAGTCATTTGTATTCCATGCTGACAGCTACAAGCTGATGGCCAGCAGTTATCAAATAAATGTTGATGAAAGGCAGCTACTTAACATTTTCATCCCAACAAAGGATTTTGGGAGGATGGATAATTTAGACTCTAGAACCTCAACTATAAACAGCAAGTGCTTCCCAAAGCCCACGTTGTGGTAGTTGAAGCTTGTGCTGCAAATGTGACAAATGGTTCATGAAAAAGAATGATGAGCCCCTGTTACCCAGACATTCTTAATGTAACCCCAAACAGGAATCCTGGGTAATTTTACATACACCATCAGGCTGGATGGCACGGTCCTCCGCCGGCCGTTCAGATGTTTGACTGTATCGGAAGTGGCATTGGAACACAATCAAAGACTCCACTGAGCTCCCCGGAAGTGCTCCGTCCTGGGTCTGCCCGGTGGAGCTGCCCAGTTCCTGCGATTAGCACTGCACCCCGCCCCCACCGTTCTGACAGAACGTCCTCCCAACAGCGGCTCAGCCAGCGTTTCCACGTCTCGGCATGATGATTCCATCACAATGGATCAGGAAGCTCCAGAGCCTGGCGAGCAGACTCCTTACCGTTTCTTCCCGCAGAGTGCTCTTGCATTTTTTTCTCAAATAGGTACTGACGATGGCCCAGAAAGTGGCCTGAAAGTCATTTGACGGTGATGAAAGTGTTCTTTAAACTTTTTTTTATCAGTTAGAAAATGTTTTATCTTGTATCAGCAGTACCAGCTTGTTTACTAATGAGATGGCACTTACTGTGGCTCAGGCTGTCCCAGACGGGGAGATGACGTGCCAAAAGCGAGAACTTGTTACTAAACTGTCATCACATCTGCTCATATAAAGATGTCACTCAGAAGTTGCCATGGGACAGCTGAAAAGGTTATTCCCCAGCAGCCAAAGAGGTGGTAGGCAAGGGAGCAGCATGATATTGTCACCAGCTCATTGTCCAGCAGGGGCGGAGAGTGAGACAACTGCCAGTCGCACTCGGCAGGAACCAGAGAGGGAGACCTGGCCAGATGTATGCCAGTGACTGGGGGAGTGGAGAAGGAAGTCTCTGCTCTCAGGTGCCCCCTTGTACAAGGCCAGGGCTTTGTAGGTTTCCTAGTAGTGGAACTGAGATTGTGTATCCCTTTGGTCTAGCTGCCAAAGCATGTCAAGGCCAGCTTCTAATTTTCAAAAAATGGTTTTTTTTTTCATTAAACATGTATGGATTTTAGCATCGTAGCCAAATGTGGTTTTACATGAAATGAGGCCAATTGCAATCGCTTTGCAGATTCCGCAGAGGGACAATGCGTGTCCCCAGCTCCCCCAACTCAACTCCAAATCAATGTGACTGCAGAATTCCTTTGCAAAAATCTCATTGGAACAATGAGGAGAGCAACATGATATCATTTGAGAAGGTCATGGTGGCAAAATATTACATTGGGTTTGGAAGAATCCCACTCTCTGCTTCCCCAGATGGCCTCCTTGGCAGTCTCCTGTCGGGACCAGCAGAACAGCAAAAGGCCAGTCTGTCCCCATGGTTGAACCTGGACTTTGGGAGGACCTGACTGGGCTTTCTCATCACCTGTGAGTCCACAGCATGTCACCTACCTACTCCCTGGTGCTGTTGGCAGCCTCAGAGGGAAATCGAAGTCCGCAGCTGATAGCCCCAAATGCATGAAAAATACCATCTCCGTTCTCCAGTTTATCCTCAGAGGCACTTCTGCTTCCTTTGTCCTGACATGGGATGTGGAGGAGTCAGATAAGCCACTCAGAATGCTTTCGCTCAGCGTGCCAGGTGCTACACTAAGGGTTATTAGGAATAATAACTCAGTGGAAGTAAATTTGAATGACATGAACTCATTTCCATTAGACTTGAACCACACAAACCCACTGGAAAGGAAACAGCTATATCCAAGGTAGTCACTGGCTGTTTGGGGGAATGGGCAGGGTGAGGGAGTTGGGGAGATAGCCAACCAGTCACTACTTAACTAAGGTCAAGTCATGGCCCTTGTGCACCCTCGAGACTAGTGGGACTTGTCTGGGTCACTGTGGCAGCCAGTTCTTACCAGGACTCATGGCTCTGTCTCTCCCACCACACCCCTCCCACCATCACTTGTTTTCAGACCAATTGCAAGGTGACCACAGACACTGACGCTGAAGCCAAAAAAAAAAAAAAAAACCAAGCCTATTTTATGGCACTTTCCTAAAACAGTAAAACCTTAGGACTCTGGGTCCAGCATGGCCTTGGCATCTCCTGCTTTTCAAATGCAATCAGAGAGCGTGCAAAACCAGCCCTGCCCAGGACAGGGTCTCCACAGAGCACTCTGCTGCGGCACAGCGGACATGTAGGGCCGAAAAACAGGAGCCTGGGGTGCAGACAGGAGCCGCCCATTTTCCCCACAGTCACACGTCCCTAAGGTTTCCTCTGAGCAACCCGGGCTGCCGTTGCCTTCCCTGGTCCTCTTCTGGACACCCCTTCCTCCCACCAGCTGATAATTAGTTGATGCAGCCAGGGCCGGGATGCACATAAATAATCATAAGATGGCAGAGCTACTGTATTGGTTTTAAATTAGAGCCGGGCCTACCGTGTCTCCCTATGAGGAGCGGCCTATTATTTTTAATTATGGCCTGCAAAGCAAAGTGATTCCTTGCCCTCTTTACAGCATCGCTGACTGTATCCTGTCAGTCCAGATGATATGGGGCTCCCGAGCAGAGGCATCCCTCCGCAGCCTCAAGTGGTACCCAGAAGATGCAGCGCCAGTCACCCACAGCTGTTGCTGCAACTTGTATGTTGAAGTGGGCAGGGAGGAAATACCGCCTTTTAACCCCTGTCCCATTGCAAACCCGGGGCAAGTAAGAGGTTTCATCCAATATGTTCCAGGCACACCGATACATGTGCTGTGTAGCTGTGTGAGGCGTGTGTGTGTGTGTGTGTGTGTGTGTCAGACGTCTTTAACGAAGCACGGCCCACTCTTCCTGTAGTAGCACTATGGGCAAAGAATAACGAAGAGACCTGACACCAGCCCCACTTAGGTTTTCTACCTGATGGGCCATGATCAAGCGTGGTTGATTTAATTCAGACACAAAGTTCTAAAAAAGAAAGAAAGAAAAAGTTCTTGGTGTCAAATTACATCCGCATCCGCCGCTGAGCAGCCAAAGGGTTGGATGAGTTTGTTCTCGCGTCTTCCAAAAGAGACCATCATTCTCTCTCTGTGTGCAGAAGGGGGGCCCGCTCTGATTTATTGATACGTGTATTTATTTTCCAAGCCTTTTCCTCTATGAGGTGTAAAAAGTCACACCAGCTTTACGAGCGGAGTTTATGAACTCGTTTTTCCAGGATGGCCACATCATTCCTTTTACAGCCATGTGCTCCGAGCTCTGTACCCTCTGCCACGCCGCGCGCGCCAGCGGCCGTGGAGGCAGGGAGGGCGGGCCGGGTGATCGCCCCACAGTCCCAGGCCCGCACCGCCTCACCCCTTCCTCTTTCTGCTTTGATTCCCAGCAACAGGGAGCCGCCACCACCGTCTACTGCGCCGCGGCGCCGGAGCTCGAGGGCCTCGGAGGGATGTACTTCAACAGCTGCTGCCGCTGCACGCCCTCGCCGGAAGCGCAGCGCGAGGAGACGGCCCGGGCGCTGTGGGCACTCAGCGAGAGGCTGGTGCAGGAGCGCGTGGGCAGCCAGCCCCACTGAGGGCGAGCACCGCTGCCCGCGCCGGACCCTTCCCACCTCGGGATCCCGCGGGTCTCCATGGCCCTGTCGCGCGGGTGCGCACCAGAGAGGCGAGAGCCGCCGCCATGAGTGGAAAATGCCAAGTACCAATGGGAAACGGAGTTCCGGGGGAGGGGAGGGAAGAAATCACTTTCCTGGGGCTGGGGTACCTGTGGGTCCCTTTGCTTTGTACGGCTGTGTTTGAAAGCGGAAGCTCGGTGGGTGGGTGGGTTCCTTCGCTCAGCGCAGAAGCGCAAGCAACTCTCGCTAGATAGATTAGTCCGGTGCCCCCTTGTCCCACCACGGCAGCCAAGGGCTGGAAAAGACCGAGTTCACCCTTCCGTGCTGCCTTGATTCAGGAAATGACGGTCTCAGTCGTTACAGCCAGCCAAGGAAAGAAATCGGGGAACCTTCATCCTGCCGGCCGCGACGGTGGCACAACTCAAAGACAGAGCCGAGCAGGGACAGCCAGTGGGTGGCACACGCACCGGTCACATCCTCCCTTGCCAAAGCTGTGCACAGAATTCCTTAGAGATTATAAGAAACAAATTTTGCAAACTCATTCCCCAGACACCTTGATGGGCAGGAAAGGAAGCAGTGCGTCCTTAGGAAAACACGGGATTCTCCTGGGATGAGGAATAAAATTGTTCCCTCCACTCTCCATGCCCAGCGTGAAGACGCACCTTGCGCGCTGGCTTTCACAGCCTCCCTGTTCTCCTGAGCAAACTTCCCATTCCTCCCACCCTACGCTTAATAAAAGAACATGCTCGGCTATGATCACCTGAAATCCGTATCGTGTCTGTAAATGTTTCAGTTTCTTTGTTTTTGTCTCTTAGAAAAGAAATCTAGAGGAAAAATAAAGCGCTTCTTGTAGATGCCAGGAAAGCTCCATTTTTGCTTCTTGTCTGAGTTTGGGGTTTGTTGTTGTGCTTTGTGGCTGTCTGTGGGCCCAGTTGTCTCACGCGATTAGCATGCCAGCATCATATTTTCTGTGAAGGCAAAAGAGAAAGAGAAAGAAATGACCATGGTTTCTTTTCACCTTAAGGTAATTTGTTATTGCCTACAGTTCAGTTCCCGGGATCCTCCCCTGTGGATATCAAGCACTTAGTGATTGGAGAGGTCCCCCCCCTCTCTGTATTTGAATGGTGGGGGGTTGGAGGTTGGTCCCCTCCCCTCCTTGCCGTTTCACACCATGGTTTCCATGCACGGGAAGATGAGGATTCCCCCAAGTCCTGTAAATCCAACGTTCATTCGTTCAGCCAACATTCCGAGAGCTATATTCTGCAAAGCTCAAAATAACCACACACAGTCGCTCCAGTCCCTGCTGTAAAGAAATGTGTATCTTTTGTCTGTAGGAGTCCTCACAATGCACAAGATCCTAATCAACGTCATCACAATTTCTCTGCATTCCCTGAAGGTGAAGCGAAGCCCTAGAACAACACCAGGCCTCCATGCACCCACTCGACCTGCCAGTCCCTGGGTCCACTTCCCACCCTCTGCCAAGCATCTTACCATTTTGCCTGATTCTGGACAGGGGAGCAAGTGAGTAGCACACTTGCTGTTTTAGCTTTGCTGTGGTGAGGCGGTTTCCCATCACCTGTCATGATGTGTGCATCTCGATATATGTGTGTAGAGATCTGTGTACAGCCTCTGCATAGATGTGTGTATGTGTGTGCTGTGCGTCCTCATGACCCCGCCTACTGCCTGCACACCCTACCACTGTGCCTGCTGATGGTGAAGGCAGGTCACCTCCATCTTGTCATTGAAAGGGAGGTTTAGTGAGAGAGGAACCTAACTGCAGGCCCCAGGCAGGTGACCAGCGGGATCGGGAGCCAGTTCTGTTTGCCTTGAAGCCCACGTCGCCCGTTTGTGGCAGCGGCACAGTCACATTACACACACACAATGAGTGACTTATTCCTAAAGAAAGACTACATGGCTTCCCACCCAAGCCATGTGGGATCTGACCGTCCTGCTGCCTGCTCCAAGCTCTAGAAATCGTTTCTGTGTGTGCCATTTATCCAGCGACTAGGGAGCTTGATCCCACCCCTTCCCTACACACACATTGTCCAGCACAGCCTCTCTGTCACTGCCTGTGAACGGATCTCCCCTGGCTTAGCTTCCGATGGACTCGGTGGCCAGGCTTCTCCGTCGCTGCCCCAGAGCCACGGAACCCATCCCAAACATTCCCCACCCATTTCTCTGTAGTCGTTTTCAGCCAAGTCTTCTCTCTCGCCCTATGTTTCTTTAAACCCAAAAGGCAGCCAGTTTCCACTTTCACGCCTGATTAAGGGAGACCTTGCTAGAACTTATCAATAGGAAACAAGACGTGGAAGCATCCCCTGGCAATGACTGAAGACTGTGGCTTGTGGTTTCGCTCTTTACAATGGGGTTATGGATGGTTCTGTTTTGAACTTCAATGAAGGAGGCTCGATTGCTTTCATCAAGGTCAATGCTGGGCCAGAAAGCCTTGGCTTGCAAAAACTGCTGCCCGTTCTGGTCACTGGCAGGTACCATTTTTAGAAATTCATGTTAAAAAAAGCATCTAAAATAGCAATATTTATCCTGTGTATTAATTCTTTGTGCCTTTCAACATTTCCACGGTTTGGTGGAAGGTTTTTTTTTTTTTTTTGAACACTCAATAATAGCATGAAATTTATCCATACAGTCAGTGAAATAACTGCTCAGAATTGTGGCGTCTGTTGATGACGTGGCATAGCAACAGTACATGTCATTTTTAGGAGAAAGGCACAACGTCACTATTTAGCACTTTCACCTGCTACCGTTCAAGTCGCCTTAGTACTTTGCTTCATGACCCCCGTCCCTCACCCCCAACTCCCAATCATGCCCTTATTTCTTACACTCTTCCGTTACGTTAGCAGATGCCTAACAGGACGTGTTTTACTGATTGGCCATCTTTCGGAAACTCATCCCCCCACTCGGCGACATTTATGGGTTTCCAGTTTCTGCTGTTCAAACTAATGGTTCAATTAGCATCTTTACACATCCAGCGTTTTCCTTCCATCAATTTACCTCCTCAGCACACATGTGCAGGAGAGCCAAGAGCTCTGTTTGGCTTCTGCTGCCAAGTGCCAAGTGCCACGGGGCAGCCTGGATGGGTCACACGTCTTTGTGTGTGTTTACAGCCTTATCAGCATTGGCCATTGCCATTGCTGCTGGTTTTCTTTTCTTTTCTTTTTTCTTTTTTTTGTTTTAGCATCATATTGTCATAACCTATAACATTTATATATAATATTCCCAGGCAGCCATCCTCCTTATTTAACGTGGAAGCATTTGTCTTTCATTTTCCCGCAGGAACGAGTTCACGATTTTAATTAGAGTGTAAATTCAGAGTGAGTCTCCGCTTCGAGGAGGGGAAAAAAATCTCGGTCCAGGCAAGCCGCTTCCTTTCCCCCGCACAGCCCCACGCCCTGCCCTTCTCCCTTTCCAGTGCCTTGCAGCCCTACGTGGCCCCCAGAGGGAACACTGCCCGCCTCTGGCGTCCACGCCGGCCTGTGTGTGTGGGCCCGGAGCAGGGATTCCTTAGCGGGCCACGTCATGGCAGCTGACGAATCGTCCGCTTCTATGACAATGTGCCACGCCACTCGCAAAGACCTTGTTTCTCAGCTGATCTGTCTACCAGGCCTTGCCCCACTGCGTGTTGGCTGGGAGGCAGTAAGAGCTGCTTGTAGCTTTCCAGAGAGGGACACGGAGTCGAGGTGCCTCGTTCGGGGGGGGGGGGGGGGAGGGGTGCCTCTGCGTCTTCCCTGCTCTTATCTGGAGCTCACGAGGAGGAGCGGGTCCTGGTCCCTGGGGACGGACCACTTCCCGAGGGCTCGCCGACACTTGACCCAGATGCTGGGTGCGTTCATTTACAAGACATAATTTCTAGAATTCACGTGTTTGTGAGGCAGCGAGCGAGAGAGAAAAACAGTGCAGGCGAGTGGGCTCCCGGCCCCTGGCAGTCGATGTCACTGGCCTCTGTGCACCAGGGGGAAGCCATGCTTCCTGGGAAAAGCGCCAGCACCTCACCTCCCCCAGCCCCTGGGTCACTGCCTTGAGACCTCTTTCCCCTCCAACTTTACCCCTCCCTTGCTGGAGTATTTACAGACTTGTTGAGGCTTCTCCAAGCCGCATACATGTGGATTCTATCAGAAATTCACGTAATATGGCTTTATCCTTTATATCCTTTAAATATGATTTGTGGGATTGGTTCCAGGAAAGCAAAGATCCTAATGTTGTATTTAAATATACTGCATCTTAGAAACAATGGCCAGATAATTGTCTTGCAAACATTATTACTGGTTTTCATTAGAAAGTTCAAATGCCTGAGTTCAGCACTTAAAGTTGAGAGTAAAAAGTCAGAAAAATACCGGGGCCCAGTATCCCGCCAGCCAATATCACCAGCACAAATATCCTGGTGTACTTTCTTCTGTTTTTCTTAAAAATGCATTTTAAAGTTCATTTGTATCATACAGTTTTAGTTTTATAGAGTTGTGATTATACTCCATAAACACTTTTATATATTTCAAACTAAATAAATTCTTTTTAAGTCTCTTAATGCCTGCATCATCCTCTGTTCAGGGAATGTCACAGCTATTGGAGAGTGAAGCTATCTCCCGCCACCGTCTCCACTCAGAGATGTCGGTTCAGTGCGTCTATTTGTATGGGACTTTGGAGGCATCGTTGGATTATTTGCTTAACATAGATCCCAAGGAGAACACCGGGGTCAAGCAATATGGAAAATTTCCCCGGCTCTGGGCATTGGCTGGGCTGCTCGATGCGGCGGGCTTTCCCCCTGCCACGGGTTTTCTTTGCGAAGAGCAGGTGCGTTTCACTCAGGTGGGCTTGCTGCTGATGGGTTTAGCTTCCCTGGGTGACCTGCCCGTCTGTCGGTATGGTCCTGTGTGGGAAGCACTCCTTCCCATCTGGAGCCAAGACAGAAGGGGACAGGAGCCTTGTGTCAGCGAAATCAAAAAGGCCGAGTGCAGAAAACAGCAAGCCAGCAGCTCCACTTCGGGTCAGCCCGTTTGCCAGCCTTGCAGAGCGCTCACTGGCCTGCGGCTCCGGTCCCCAAGTCCGGCGATGTGCGCTGCTGAGCCAGGACTCACTGTACATTCACTTGGTCCTGGAAACGTTAGGGGTGGCCTAGATTGCAAGGCCTTGATGATGAAGTACCTGGCTGCCTGCTCTTGCTGGGACTGCTTTTAAACCCACTGCAGGGATGGAGGCTAAGTAGACCCTCCCTACAGGATTTAAGAGAAATGCAGGCCCGTCCGCCTTTGCCTGAACACGAAGCCAGAACTCTCAAGAAATCGGCGTACATCACCTGAAATGTTCCCGGAGCCTTCAAAGCTGCCACAGGCACACAACACACGAGCAGAAGACATGGAAAACGCACACACACACACGATAGGATACACTGCAGATCATGTTCAACCGCACGCGTGACAGAGGATGTTATTAGTAACGCTACTTAAAATAAACCATTACATAACCTCACCATCATCAGTATTCATAATGCAAACCAGACCCTTTCACCCAGAAAGCCCAAGGTCCAGGAGTTAATACCAGAGGAGGGCAGTGCTCTCAGCTGGGATAGCTGATGCGAGTGTGTGTGCACGCCCTGTCTGCGAGGGTCAGGAGTGCTGAAACTCAAACTACATCAACATCCTGAGGGATCTATCACTATTAAAACAGTTTAATTAATTACAAGTTAAAATGATAAATGTAATTAGAAATTGTAAATCCTTTTTAATACAGGTTTTGGATCAGGAATACCTATTTGTTAACAGCAGTAATAATAATGCGCTCTAGGACATAGAGAAATTTGTTTCTTAAAACAATAATAATAATGTAAAGCTGAAATCAAATCAAATTTCTAAAAGTGGGACGAGGTTCTCTGCCCACCAGAAAATAATATGGAAGAAAGTTAATGGACTGAACTGATGTGTATAATCTATCGGGTGGAAAATGTAGCTAATAAAGAAGT